TCCACATTCAAAACGTCAACTATCCAAAAAAGAGAATAAAAATCAGCAACAACAAACTGAGCAAGATCACAACAGTTCGGAAGCTCAACAACAACCGGTTAGATTGGATAGAGTCTTAGATGTGCTGGAGAGGATAGCGACTGCACTATCAGTTGCACCAGTGCAAGGGGCCCGGCATGTTGGGAATCTTCCCAACCCCTTGGATGATGATATCGAAATGGACCTCATCGACCTGGATAAATAATTAATCGATGAGGTCCCATCACCACCAACAATAAAAAAAAACACTCTTCTTCTTGAAGTTTTTAAAAACCCATAGTGTCGATCGCCAGATCAATAACAAATAATAAATTAATTACAAATAAATTGACCGCCAGCGTCATACGTTTGAATTTGAAAGTTTATTTTTTGTGTTTTTATTTGCAGACAACAAACGTAAGTATCGTCAGAATACTTGTTGTGTTGTTGTAGTTTGCAAATTTATATTGTTGTCCGTCCTGTTCAACAATAATCTTCGTTTCTAAATCTACTCAGTAGAATTAGAATCCCTACAAGTCCTTTCGACCGTATCGGAACTTGTACACACTTTAATACACGTTTTTACCAGATTAATTAATTTAATAAAACATATAACTTAATTTTTTTTCAAAAGCACGGAGCACCACAATTTTTTGACACTAATCACAACAGGGTTGCCAACTTGCCGTCAATTCATCAATTAGAGATATTGCATTTAAGCAGTATATGCTTACAAGTCAAGAAGATTGGAGAAATTTCTGTAAAGCCAGGAATAAAGCAAAAGCTGTTGTACGAAAGGCTAAAAGTGTTGCTCATGCGTCATTGTTGGAAGATCTTCGTAGCAGTAAAGAGCTCTGGGGTGTTCTTAAGTGTAAGGGGCATTCCTCTGACAAATCCTAAGATTATAGTGGAAATGTTAATGATTTGAAAGAATGTTTGCTCAGAATCAACTTGATAATCGTTATACAATGCATAACTTCCGGGGTATTGGTGATGATGTTGGTAGTTTTAGTTTTCGCTGTGTTGATGCTGCAGAATTGGAGAGAGCGTTTGTCGCAATTAAGTCCAATGCAGCGGGTTTGAATGGATTTTCTTTGAAATTTTTGAAAGTTGTTTTTCCCTTGCTTTCCTCCCAATTTCTTAGCTTGGTTAATTCTATATTAACAACTTCTGCTTTTCCTGAGGCCTGGAAGTTAGCAAAAATAAGAAGAAAAATGTTGTTGGTGGATTGCAAGAATTTCGTCCGATATCTATACTACCCATATGTTCCAAAGTTGTTAAGCATATTTTGAAGTCGCAAATTTTGCTAAATTTGCATAGCAACAATTTGTTAAATGATGCGCAGTGTTGCTTTTGAAAAAATAGAACTACGTCTTCTCTTTTACTTGGATTGACTGACACCATTCGAGCCAATTTTGGTAATTCCAGGTTCTGTGTCCTGTTGGCGCTTGACTTGGAGAAGGCCTTCGACCGTGTAGATCATATTAAGTTAGTGCGCAAATTACATATGCTCTATGGTTTTTCGGTCACTGCATGTTCACTGATATCTTCCTACTTGTCTGATAGGAAACAGTTGGTTTATGATAATAATAACGTTAGCTCTATTTTGCCAGTGAGGAGTGGGGTTCCTCAGGGGTCGGTGTTGGGTCCTCTTCTATTCATTTTGCTTCTTGATGACCTTTTTTCTGGTCTGCGATTTTTGTGTGAGCCATTTGCGTTTGCTGATGATGTTCAGTTGTTATTCAAAGGAGATACTCGCTTTGTATCAGTAATTCAGTCTAAGATTGACTGTGCCATGGATATTTTGTCAGATTGGATGAATAATAATAATCTGTGTGTTAACCCGGCAAAGACGCTTTCATTAATAATAGAGTCGTGTCCGTTGTGTATAACAATATAAATATTGAGTTTGCTTCTGAACTTTTGTGTTTGGGGGTTTTCCTTGATGGTAAGTTGGGTTTTGCGAGTCATATTAGTAAGTGGCATTCCTCTGACAAATCCTAAGATTATAGTGGAAATGTTAATGATTGGAAAGAATGTTTGCTCAGAATCAACTTGATAATCGTTATACAATGCATAACTTCCGGGGTATTGGTGATGATGTTGGTAGTTTTAGTTTTCGCTGTGTTGATGCTGCAGAATTGGAGAGAGCGTTTGTCGCAATTAAGTCCAATGCAGCGGGTTTGAATGGATTTTCTTTGAATTCAACATTCCCTTTTATTGGTCATTACATGTTATGACGATGGGTTTGAGTGTGACCGACATATATATATGTATATATATATATATATATATATATATATATATATATATATATATATATATATATATATATATATATATATATATATATATATATATATACATATATATATATATATATATATATATACATATATATATATATATATATATATATATATATATATATATATATATATATATATATATATATATATATATATATATATATATATATATGTATATATTGGTTTTTATTATTATTTTTGAATCATATTTTTTAGCAAATATTGTTTGCGCTTTAATTGGCTTTGTATAATTGTCATACAAGAATAAATAAATAAATAAATTCTTCAATGACCGGCTTCTGCTACACTTACCCTCTTCACCATTCTATGGAGGATATCAATCGCCGGAATTGTTTAAAATTTCGTGTTTGAAGTTCCTACAACCGATGACAGATAATCGTCTATGTAGGACCACGTTTTCGTACAGTCCACATATAACGACCTTATTCGATAGTTTGATGATGATAATAGCGACATTATTAACAAGAATTGTTGCAAATTTTATATTTCAAGTTCGGAAATGGGTTTACAGCCTATTGCTGAGAATTACTTATGCAGGTCTACGTCTTTGTATTGTACCCCTTTTAACGGTTTTACCCTTAATACCAGTTAAGCGTTATTTTTTTTTTTTTTTTTTTGAAGAAACTTTTCAAATTTCTTGCATGGTGCTACTTTTTACTTGTTTTGGGAAATTGTCACCACTTTACAAGATTGCGGCCCACATATTGGCTGCTTAAAATATAAGACATAAAGACAATAGTAAAAAATGGGGGGCCATGTTAAGTTTAGGGGCAATGCTCGGATTATTTTGAAATTGTAACCGCAGGTACGTATTTTTAACCTGATTAAGGGAAAGTAATTTTTTTGTGGGGAAAGTACCCGGATACCCACCCACCTATAGGCTGCTTAAAATATAAGACATAAAGACAATAGTAAGAAAATGGGGAGAATATGAATTTAGGGGCAATGCTCATATCATTTTGAAATTTTTACCGCAAGTGGGTATTTTCAATCTGATTAAAGGAAAATAATTTTCCGTGGGGAAATAATCGGATACCCGGTTTGACTGAAAGTTCGGATACAACATCCGACTTTTGTCTGGTTCTACAAAATGATTATAATTTGAAAGCTTATGGAAATACCCATACAACAAGTGGCCATGAGAATCCAACACCGGCTACGCGATCTATAATTTTTCTAAACATTGTAATTTTTGTAAATAGACGGCCTTCGGCTGGGGCTTAAGATTTTTCCTATGTATAACACCGACAATGCAATCCATAGTTTATTTAAACATTGTAATTATTGTAAGTAGCCGGCTTTCGGCCGGGGCTTGCGATGTTCTCCTCAGAGGTATGTCCAACACCGGCTAAAATTTATAAATAGCCGGAATTCCCCTTTAAAGTCAATATCTTTTGATAGGTATACATATTGTTAGACAGATATTTCCATAAGCTTTCAGAGAACCAGATAAAACCCAGATTTTGTATCCGAACTTCCGGGTTGAATAACCGGGTATTTCCCCCACAAAAAATTACTTTGCCTTAATCAGGTTAAAAAGATCTACAATTTAAGTCAAAAATGGTTGCATATATTATTTATGTATTTTTATATGATACGATAACAGCGCATAAATAATTTCAATAGCAATGACGTATTTGTTTTCTATTTTTTTGTCTCATTAGATTTAGCATTAATATTAATATTAATGCCTTTAAGTCGTAGTAAGTTTGATAATCTAATTTATTTTGATTCCTATACCCTCAGCCATGTGGCTACAGAAGGTATATATCATTTGATTGGGCCAAACATGAAATAATTGTTTTTGACCCTAAGTCTCTTTGTATAGGGGTGACCGTCCATCCGTTAGTCCATCTGCCTGGCTGGCTCGCTGGTTTGGGAGTTAAGACAGAAAACAGTTTTTACTACATATTTGGCTATTTGGCATACATATTCCGTTTAGTACCATAAAACATCAAAATTTAAAAGAATATTTTTTTGTGTTCCTGAAATTTGCACTTAGGAATACGGGCCCAACTCTAGTTTAGTAAAAACTTCTATTTTTTTTAATTTTTCCAGTGGGTGGTATTTTTACCCTGATCCCTGGAAACTATATTTTTCTTGGGGGACGTTCCCGCGATTTTTGGCCCGAAAGTCCGGGTTCAGCCAAATTGGTGCCAAATTATTGATGACATTGTTACCTTTCCAAAATGCTACAATTTGTGTTAATACCTTTTCTGGTATTATAAGCGGATCCGGGTCGGGGTCTTGAACCCGAACTTTCTTTCCTCAAAAATCTGAGGGTCCCGAGTCCGTCCCAAGAAAAAAATAGTTTCCCGGAATCAGGGTAAAAATAACTAACTCTGGTAAAAATTTCGAAAAAATCAAAGTTTTTACTAAACTAGAGTTGTTCCTAACAAACTGTGACCCCCATCTAATGTTTACATTTTTGTTTTCAGGATACCACAATCTATCTAAAGGAAAAAAATCAGATCAATCCGAGAGTTATAGCAAAATAAAGATTGTTCCTTTAGCCGATTTCAGCTGACATATCCAATGGTGGTTTACATCAGCAAAAATGATAGGCGCTTCCATGTCTGATCGGAATACATTTTACAAACTGTGCCTGCATTGCTAATATTTTGGCTAGACTTGTTTATTATACTAACTTACCTCTTCAAACTTTATTATATACAAAATTTTGTTGACGTTTTCACTACTACTAAAATCAATATCACTTGTTAATGTCATTGTTAATAATTTTGTTGGATATTTGTCAGTTCTGCTTTAATGCAATCTCCACAGTAAATTAACAACAAAGCTGCTGTTAGACAACAAAGCGAAACGATGTTCTTGACGGCGACGGCCCTTTTCTTGACTGCAACTACAGCTTTACCTAAAATTTGACGTACTCTGTCGACGTATTTCATCACACAAGTTATGCTAGGAACACAATTGGAGCGAACGACGAATTTCGCCCTACGCGGCGACAAAATGAGTCGCGTAAATTCGTCGTATGGAACACAATACCGACGAAATTATAAAACAGCTGATGAAGTTGTTTACTTTTTGCTCATTTGTTGACTACAATGAATTATACAAGAACACATAATTCTTTACGTTCTCTATTATAATTTCACTTATGTCCATCTTCTCTATTATAAATTCACTGATATCCATCTTCACTCAGGCGCAAGTACACAAATAAATAAACAAATTAATTATGTTTTTTTATACGAGTAACAGATAGTAGAGTGACCATAACAAATTTTAAAGTAAAAACCAACTTCATTTACTAACACATAAAATTCGTACAAGTATGGCCACTTTGTACTGTTTTGTTCGCCGTTCACCGGCGTATGAAGTAGAAATAAGGCTAATTGAGTTCGCGGCGTGCGACGAAAATTTCGCCGGCGCCGTGATTGTGTGCATTTCCATATACACTTAGGTTTTTTTTTTTTTGACAACGAACATACGCCGCAAAAAATTCGTCGTTCGCTCCAATTGTGTTCCTAGCATTAAACAGAGAGCGTTACCTGGATGGCGCACATAAATATTTAACTTTCCCACCATGGTAAAATGTTTTATTCATTCGTATTAACAATGGCAGAAGAATACAGGTAGATGCATCAACGCTTGGGAGCATTGATGTGTCAAAAAAAATTAAATGTTTTTTTTCAAATATAAGTAGATTTTTATATGTTTTCTTATACTACGTTATTCGGAGGCAATTATAATTCGCGTTTTTCAACAATTTTTACAAATTCAAATAATTTTTCATTCAAGATTTTCCTCCCAGCTGATTACAATTTTTTCTAAGTGTGCTCGACTTCTGCCAATTTTGTGTATGTATTTGTTGTTTTGAAAAATAAAAACAAAATATTTTCAAAATCAATGATTGGAAGAAACTTATACTGCGAGGCGCGCATTAATAATATTAACAAAATTTGCCATTGTATATCTGTAGTTTTACGAAGCTGTTCTACCTCCTTATTGTACCATGGATAGGTGTATCATTATTTCAAAAATAAGTAGAAGGGGCTGTTATGATAAGCAATTTTTTCATTTTTTTTTTTTTTTTTTTTTTGAAAATTTTTACAAATTTGAATAATTTTTCATTAAAAATGTAATTTCCGCTGTTTTGGCTATTTGTTTCAAATTTGGTATTTGAAGTTCAAAATGTGTATAACAGCCTATGACAGAAAATATTTGACGAAAAATGTCAAATATTTCTTTGTCACAATCTGACCAACAAATATTATTTGACGGTAAATACAAATACAGCTGATTTTGGGAAAACAAAATTATTTGCTAGAAAACAAAAATTTGACCAGTGTGTCCATAATGTGAAGACATATGATCAATTATTTTCCTCTTTTTTGGTCAAACATTTATTTGACGTTGCAAATGTTTTGTAAGATCAAACAAGGACAAAATTAATTTAAAACATTGGGCAGCATTTTGCTTTAAGAACAGGATCATTTGTAGCATGATGTTTAATGAATAGAAAAACAAACGAATGCAATAAGTGGTATTGTTTATTTGATATTTTTGAATTAACTGAATTTGAATGTTTAGTAAAAAATGTTTATATTTGGTCTGTTCCAGAACTGCAAGAATGTAAATGTCTTTACGGCGATAACCGATTTCCCTTTATTATATCGAAGAAAATTGCGAAACTAGTAGATTCTTGCACGTTCTGGAACATCATGGAAATTTTGAAATGTTTCCTTATACGACGCAAATAGGAGGTTGTAATGAAATGTATTTTTTCTACAATTTTTACAAATTTCAATAATACTTCATTCATTATTTTCAATTCAACAATTGTTTTGACAGTTTATAGTCCCAGCAGCTATGTCGATGCGACTACCTGTATTCTTCTATATATATATATATATGGGGTATATATATATATATATATTAAAGGGCTGCAAATGTGACACTTTTCTCTATTTATGCCATGGAGAGAAAACGCTCGTCATGTTGTGCCCTGTTTGATCAAACACATAACAGTACGATGTCTCGTCATGTCGGTCACACTCAAACCCATCGTCATAACATGTAATGACCAATAAAAGGGAATGTTGAATAGAGTGTCATACAAAAATGTTCTATCAAAAAAAAACAACAACAATTATGAAACAATTGCCAACGAAAAAGACACACACGTGTTGAAGGCAAAGCGCAATCGCTACCTGCTTTTCCGATATGTGAAAAAATACATTTTTTGTAATAAAAAATTTCTTGGCGATTACTAAAATATTAAAGGTACTTCTAAAGGTACAAAATGTTCACATTTCGTGGTTATTGACGAAACAATCTAAAATGTTAATCCCTATTAAAAAACAATAATCCCCTGAAAATTTTTCTTATTTTGATTATAATTTCATAATTGTTGGCCTCCGGTAGTGAGGTGTAAATGAGAATGAGTGCTACTGTAATTCACGTAACAACACTTTATACTTCCATTGTTCAATTCTGTGCATATTCTGTTATTGAATGAGAATCAAATCTCTGCCCACAAACTATAATTTTAAAAGAACAATATATGTAGATAGAAAATATGCAAACAATATTTACCTCTTTTTATGACCAAAATTTTATGATAATCACCAATAAATTGGGATTATTAAATGTATATTTCATTTTTTCTATTCATTTGTTGATCCCAATGCACATTTTGTTATTGAACTCAATTTTATATATATATATATATATATATATATATATATATATATATATATATATATATATATATATATATATATATATATGTATATATATATATATATATATATATATATATATATATATATATATATATATATATATATATATATATATATATATATATATATATGTATATATAAACTTAATTTATCGACGACAGTCAAGTTTGCGTCAAAAAGGTGTCTTAGACAATCTCAGCAATTGTGGGGTATAAAATTGTAAAACTTTAAGGAATTGTGATTTTGGAATTGTTGTATATTTTCGGAGACATTTCTATTGCTTCATTATGTTATTAATAGTTAGATGGGTTGGTATTTTTGTAAATAGTGAACCAACGTCGAATGAAACCAAGATGTCGTCGTCTTCCACATTTATCTCATCTTGTTTTTTTCTTCAATTCCTTCGAGTTCATTATACTATATTTATCAACTATAATGTGTTTAAGTATTTCTCCGACTTGTAAAAGTTTGTAACATGGAACCTCTTAAGTAGATATTAGTCGCAAAGGCATATTTGTCTTGTGTACTTTGGCCATATAATCCCGGAGCATTACATGCATATGTTGTAAATTTGAGTTTTTCTTGGGCAGTTATGTAAGTCTGTTTGTGTAATTCCATGATTATTTTGTTATTTGTTCTTTGTAACTTTTGTGTGGGTTCCATACTTAATATTATGTATGTTGTTTTGTTCGCTAAAAGGGTTTCCTACAATGCGTGTAAGTGTCTCTGTACATAACCATTGTTTTATTTCCTTTATCAGCTTTCTTTTTTGTGTTTTCTTAATAACTGTTTCGTCTCCTCAAATATTTGAATAATGAATTCATCTTTTTGGCTAAGACAATGCGATAGAATTCTATTCGTTATTTTTGAGCCTGTTATTTCTTTTTGTCTGTCATTCGTTAAGGTTTGCAATTATTGTTCCAACTGTATCGACGAAATTTATTGTGGATTTATGAATACGAATTACGTGACGTATACATTATGGAATCGACATTTGGAATGTGTGTGGATTTTATCTAAATGGATTCTATCTAAACGTGCTATAGCAAAAAAAATTAGATTTTACTTGCTCATGATAATCATTGGGAGATGCATTACTTTACTTGCCGAAGGTCACCAATGTGTATTTTTAAACATCAATTGTCTCTATACTTGATTCTAAGTAAAATTATGAAAGTCATTTCAAATAAGCACATCCATCACCGCATTTTCTGTATTTTAACATGTCAAATTTCTCTGCATAGAAAACAGGTTCCCATCTCTGATTTGTGTATGTATAATGGATTTACAAGTATAAATTATGTCAAATTTTGGTTCACTCCATCAAGTACCTCCCCCTCAAATGCTCAAAATTTTGAATAATTATAATTCTTATAAAATTTGCAATTAGGGCCTGATTGTCTTCGAGCAGTTCAATATTGTTACGAACATAAGATCTGGTATGAAATTGAAATATATCGGATCACCTCTTCTGGTATCAACGGGCCAAAAACAGGTCAAAAATTTTAATAATAAAAACGATCATAAATACAAATTGAACACCCGATTTTCTTCAAATTTCACATATCTTAATATTTTTTATTAAAAAAGATCTGGTGTATCCCCCACAACATGCTGAACATCAAACTTCTGTATCATAATATATCTGTTAACATACCACCTGGTTAAACTTTTACAATTATTCCGATAGAATTGTAAATATGTGTTTGATTTTTTTAAATCTTGTACATTCCAATATGTTTATCAGTAGAAAGTGGAACACTTCGATTCACTGTGAGCCATACACATTTGAACATTTTCCAAAACATATCTCATATGGGCCGGTTATTATATCTTTCCGATAGATAAAAAATTATGTTGTCGGACACATACATTTTCGTTATTACAAGTTTAATGTAAGTATGAACTGTCTGATAAGCCAAATATCAGACCATCTTCCCTTTATCTTTTAAAGTAAAGGTTACCGAATTCATGTTGCTATATTTAATATTGATAATATGGCAATAACAGCAAAATTTATTTAAATAAAAAATAATAACGCAAATATTTATATCAGACTCACAGTACGTTAACATGGGTGGATTAACCCTCTGGATTTGTATCAAAATTGTCATATCCAGTATTTACACTTAAAATAAATCCACATGAGAAGGTTAAGGTTCTAATGCAAACATGGCATTAGGTCAAGAATCAGTCATGGCAGAAGAATACTTCTACCATGGAATCAGTAATCAATCGCAAGTCAATTTATTTGTAAACAAACAGATGTTGTATAGCTAATACATCTGTCGGCAGAACCGCCGGGTACTTTCTAACCTGTTTTTTTTTTTACTTTTATTATTTGAAATATTTCCGGTAAAAATATTGCGAAAATAACCAAAATAAAGAATAATACGAAATACGAACAGATGTACATCGCTAAATCGGCTTAGAATTTAACGCTAATCAAGAAAAAATGTACTTTGTTGAGCCTGACATGAGTATTTCGAGGAGTTACAAATGGAATGACAATGTTAATATACGCTCCATATTACGGTGAAGAGTATACAAATTGATTTAAATGGAATGATTTAAAATAAAGTGGAATGATTTTGGTGCCGAAACCTGGAATTTAAGTGTCGGTTAGTTTTGTTAAATAAATAGAAAAACCATTTGTTACAATTCTGCAAAGAGAAGATAAAGAACTGCTTTTATAAAATTAAATAAAAGACTTCATTTACTGCCGTCAACTGTTGTTCCAGTCATCATCAACGCCCGTAAACATAATCAGATTAGTGATTCTGATTTCCAGGCAAAAGCGTTTGTTTAATTTGTGTGAATCGTAACCTGTAAATTATTTAGTATTTGAGAATTTGCCAATATTGTTCGTAATTACAATTCACAATAACTTCACAGATCTCAAACTTGACTGTCGTCGATAAATTAAGTTTATATATATATATATATATAAACTTAATTTAATTTTATATATATATATATATATATATATATATATATATATATATATATATATATATATATATATATATATATATGTATATATATATATATATATATATATATATATATATATATATATATATATATATATATATATATATATATATATATATATATATATATATATATATATATGTATATATTAACTTAATTTATCGACGACAGTCAAGTTTGAGTTATATTATACATTAGAAGATCTGTGAAGTCTTGAATGAAGTCTTTTATTTAATTTTATAAAAGCAGTTCTTTATCTTCTCTTTGCAGAATTGTAACAAATGGTTTTTCTATTTATTTAACAAAACTAACCGACACTTAAATTCCAGGTTTCGGCACCAAAATCATTCCACTTTATTTTAAATCATTCCATTTAAATCAATTTGTATACTCTTCACCGTAATATGGAGCGTATATTAACATTGTCATTCCATTTGTAACTCCTCGAAATACTCATGTCAGGCTCAACAAAGTACATTTTTTCTTGATTAGCGTTAAATTCTAAGCCGATTTAGCGATGTACATCTGTTCGTATTTCGTATTATTCGTTATTTTGGTTATTTTCGCAATATTTTTACCGGAAATATTTCAAATAATAAAAGTAAAAAAAAAAAACAGGTTAGAAAGTACCCGGCGGTTCTGTCGACAGATGTATTAGCTATACAACATCTGTTTGTTTACAAATAAATTGACTTGCGATTGATTACTGATTCCATGGTAGAAGTATTCTTCTGCCATGACTGATTCTTGACCTAATGCCATGTTTGCATTAGAACCTTAACCTTCTCATGTGGATTTATTTTAAGTGTAAATACTGGATATGACAATTTTGATACAAATCCAGAGGGTTAATCCACCCATGTTAACGTACTGTGAGTCTGATATAAATATTTGCGTTATTATTTTTTATTTAAATAAATTTTGCTGTTATTGCCATATTATCAATATTAAATATAGCAACATGAATTCGGTAACCTTTACTTTAAAAGATAAAGGGAAGATGGTCTGATATTTGGCTTATCAGACAGTTCATACTTACATTAAACTTGTAATAACGAAAATGTATGTGTCCGACAACATAATTTTTTATCTATCGGAAAGATATAATAACCGGCCCATATGAGATATGTTTTGGAAAATGTTCAAATGTGTATGGCTCACAGTGAATCGAAGTGTTCCACTTTCTACTGATAAACATATTGGAATGTACAAGATTTAAAAAAATCAAACACATATTTACAATTCTATCGGAATAATTGTAAAAGTTTAACCAGGTGGTATGTTAACAGATATATTATGATACAGAAGTTTGATGTTCAGCATGTTGTGGGGGATACACCAGATCTTTTTTAATAAAAAATATTAAGATATGTGAAATTTGAAGAAAATCGGGTGTTCAATTTGTATTTATGATCGTTTTTATTATTAAAATTTTTGACCTGTTTTTGGCCCGTTGATACCAGAAGAGGTGATCCGATATATTTCAATTTCATACCAGATCTTATGTTCGTAACAATATTGAACTGCTCGAAGACAATCAGGCCCTAATTGCAAATTTTATAAGAATTATAATTATTCAAAATTTTGAGCATTTGAGGGGGAGGTACTTGATGGAGTGAACCAAAATTTGACATAATTTATACTTGTAAATCCATTATACATACACAAATCAGAGATGGGAACCTGTTTTCTATGCAGAGAAATTTGACATGTTAAAATACAGAAAATGCGGTGATGGATGTGCTTATTTGAAATGACTTTACCTTCATAATTTTACTTAGAATCAAGTATAGAGACAATTGATGTTTAAAAATACACATTGGTGACCTTCAGCAAGTAAAGTAATGCATCTCCCAATGATTATCATGAGCAAGTAAAATCTAATTTTTTTTTGCTATAGCACGTTTAGATAGAATCCATTTAGATAAAATCCACACACATTCCAAATGTCGATTCCATAATGTATACGTCACGTAATTCGTATTCATAAATCCACAATAAATTTCGTCGATACAGTTGGAACAATAATTGCAAACCTTAACGAATGACAGACAAAAAGAAATAACAGGCTCAAAAATAACGAATAGAATTCTATCGCATTGTCTTAGCCAAAAAGATGAATTCATTATTCAAATAATTGAGGAGACGAAACAGTTATTAAGAAAACACAAAAAAGAAAGCTGATAAAGGAAATAAAACAATGGTTATGTACAGAGACACTTACACACATTGTAGGAAACCCTTTTAGCGAACAAAACAACATACATAATATTAAGTATGGAACCCACACAAAAGTTACAAAGAACAAATAACAAAATAATCATGGAATTACACAAACAGACTTACATAACTGCCCAAAAAAAATTAGAGAAATACTTAAACACATTATAGTTGATAAATATAGTATAAAGAACTCGAAGGAATTGAAGAAAAAACAAGATGAGATAAATGTGGAAGACGACGACATCTTGGTTTCATTCGACGTTGGTTCACTATTTACAAAAATACCAACCCATCTAACTATTAATAACATAATGAAGCAATAGAAATGTCTCCGAAAATATACAACAATTCCAAAATCACAATTCCTTAAAGTTTTACAATTTTATACCCCACAATTGCTGAGATTGTTTAAGACACCCTTTTGACGCAAGTAATAAAAGATAACATATTATTTTACACACTCTAACAAACCAAGGCTGTCAATATGTTTCTTAAAATTTCACAAGTCATTTCATAAAAATATTTAATTTTTTATATTATTTTAATCCTGAATATTGTTATCTTAAATATGATTTTAAAATTTTAATTTATATAAATTAGACACTCATTTACAACAAAAAATAACAACAACACTAATAAAAAACGTTGTTTTTATAAAAACAATTTAGGAATTAAGCCTAACTATGCAGCAACGAAATACTACGGTATCCCGAAGAAACATACCATCAATGTTTTGTTTTACAAGAACTTTTATCGAAAGCTGATAAAAATACGGTGCTGCATCAAACTAGGGAGTAAAAGTGCGTCAACAAATATTATTTGACGGCAAATACAAAAACAGCTGATTTTGGAAAAAAAAATTATTTGCCAGGAAACAAAAATTTGTCCAGTGTGTCCATAATGTGAACACACATGATCAATTATTTCCCTCATTTTTGGTGAAACATTTATTTGACGTTGCAAATGTTTTGTAAGGTGAAACAAGGAAAAATATCGGTTTAAAACATTGCATCGCAGCATTTTTCTTTAAGAACAGAAGCATTTGTAGCATGATGTTTAATGAATATAATGACAAACGAATGCAATAACTAGTTTTGTTTGTTTGGTATTTTTGAATTAATTAGGAGTAGGAGGTCAAGATTTCTTCTCAAAATAAAATTCTATATATATATATATATATATATATATATATATATATATATATATATATATATATATATATATATATATATATATATATATATATATATATTTTATTTATGCATCTCTTTTACTCTCTCTCTCTATATTTCTCTAGGCCAAATAAACTTATGTTTCGTCACAGTTCCATCAAAGAATTTCGTTACGAAAATTTGTTCCACGAATGTGAACATAGGTCAAACATGTTTTTCCATATCACTATTTGACACTGTTTGGTGACTGTTTCAACAAACAAAATCTGTCAAATATTTGACTGTAATGTGAACATCGAATCAACTCTGTATGAATTTTACATTTGTTCAGTCAAATATGGGAAAACAAATTTCGATCAAATAGTTGCCCAGTGTGACCGTGCCTTAACTAGTGCGTTTACATAAAATTTAATCCGGATTAACCCACATTATCAGGATTTATTACGTAATCCGGAGTCGCTGATAGTTTCGCAAAATATGAAACAATAACAAAAAAAAACTTTAAATTTTATTTGTTCATGACAATACATTGGAATACGCATTATTAATTGAAGAAAGCCATCACTGTGAATAAACAATTATTTTCCAACAACAATTGTATCTATATTAGGTTTTTTTAATTAATTGTTGGCTGTTTTTTGATTCTCTTTTGGTTGTGTATGTACACATAAACAAACATCTTCTGAACAGCATTTATATCCTCCTAACGGTGTACCACGGCTGGGACAATGAACTGTCAAACCAATTTTGAATGCATATCATAACAATCTCTGATTGGCGTCGTATAAGAAAATGTATAAAAATCCACTTATTTTGAAAAAAAAATTAAAAAATTGACATATCAATGTTCCCAAGCGTTGGTGCATCTACCTGTATTCTTCTACCATGAGTGTACCTAATCACTCAAAATTAACCCACTGGATCTAATAAAGGGCTACACAGACTTGAATTGGAAGACGATTTGCTACAGATAGGCCCGTTCTTATATCTTTTTTATAGTCCCCTTTTGTTATACCCTCATTAAGAAAAGTAAAGGATAAAGTTCACACTATCGCGTATTCATTATTGCATCTATCCGTTAAAATAAATGCATTTTTGCAGAGATATGATAAGTTTTTGTAAAAGTAATTGGTAATCACTGCATGTTTTCGCAATGACATCTTCGTTTTAGTTTAAAAAAAACAAACGAGACGCGTTTGTAATTAATTTTGTGAAATAAATCTAAATCATTTGCGTTATCCATTTTTTATTTTAATTAATGTTGCTTTTACTCTCACATTATTAATATAAAATATGGCAACATGAATTCAGTAAAATTTTCGTTAAAAGATTAAGGGAAGATAGTCTGACCTTTTGCATGTTTTTTTTTTTCTTTATTATGTTATCTCCAAACTGGAAGTCTTGGCTCCAGCAACAAGTCAGGGGTTTAGCACCATCACTAATTAATAGACACCGTCTATTAGGTTTCGCAAACTTGAACAAATCGACGTACAGTTTGGAGTTCAATATTAGCTTTCTCACAGAAATCGAGTAGTGTTTTAAGACTGCCAAACCCATACTTGACCACAAAGTCTTCAAAAGTGAAGACTTCGTTTAATTCGGGAAAAGGCTTCCTCGTATTATTGTACTTAGAAAAGTTAAAAATTATGTGTGAAGCCGATACTTCTATTAAACAATCATCGCAAAGACTATATGCAACCACTTTCATTTTTGCCAAAGTGGCTTTACAAAAGCAATGTCCACTTAAAATTAAAAAAAATCTTATAATTGACTGGGTTCATTGAAATTTTATTGAGCCAAAGCTTTCTGGACGTTTCAGGAAAAATTTTGTAATAGGCAGAATTTCGGCCACGTGCCAGACTTGCGTACTCTTGTGACCATTCTTCCCAAAGAGACCTAGATATTTTATAAATAGCATCGTGTAAGGGATAATTAATATCCAATAGTAAATCACTCAAAGAAGCGTTTTAGCAGCATTATCCGCAATGTTGTTAGATTTGATATTAGAATGACCTGGGACAAAATGGATTTTATCCACTTTCTTTATGAAAGTGTCAATGATATAGTTTTTGTGCTTTTTGTTTGAAATGGCATGTAGACCACTGAAACTGTCCGTAAGTATTGCTATTTTAGCAATGTTATGTTCTTGAGCATAACATGCTACCTGGTAAAAAGCTATTAACTCTGCTGACATTGACGACAACTTATAATGCATGAAAAGGATTTAGTGATATTATTGTTGGTGTGATAGAAAGCAGCCCCAGAAAAATGATCGGTGACTGATCCGTCATTGAAAAATATTGTTACGTTCTTGGATTTTACTTAATCCCGTGTAGACGTTGTTTTATTTCCCAATACAGCTCGTACCAAATAAAACGCGGGTTCTTTCGGATTACGATTATTACAATGATTTTATTCACACAACTTTACTTTGCACTTTACTTTACTCGACGGTTTCAATTCGCGATCTGATTCACAACTGACTAACTGCCTTTCCATTTCCCCTATTTATATGAGCCTCGCCTGTCGCTACAGAAGTTTCTAGACGATCTGGTAACGCCTAGATTACGAACAATCTACCAATGCAACGAACACATACAACTTACATTGAGTGAACAATAACAACAACACATACACAGGCGAGGGGGTAACAAAGAAAGAGGAATTAAGCGATCATCAATGATGACGTTTAACAAGAATTGTACGTCAGCAACAAAATAGAAAATGAAAGAGGAAATGGAAGGATGTAGAAAAATCTATACAGTAGTTGTTGTTGTGAAGTTATTCAAATAAACTGCGTAGTAGAAATTTACGTTACAATTCAAATTCTTAAATTAACGGAATTCATCTAAATTAACTTAAATCTAAAGTTATATTCGTAACATTGCCCCCCGCTTAAGCCTGTTCGTCCCGAATAGGCACAGTTCCCGTTCCGTAGGGGGTCAGCCGCTCCAAATGTACAACTTTCATCTTCGACCTGGGACTGTCGCTCCTCTGGATGCGATAAACGACGTCATTTATTTTCGTGACAATCTTGTAGGGTCCTTCCCAGTGCGTTTGTAATTTGGGGCATAGTCCTTTCTTTCGTTGTGGGTTGAACAATAGTACCAGATGCCCTTCTTGAAACCCATCGGTATTTGCCGCTCGATCGTACCTTGCCTTCATGCGGTTGCTAACCATTTTTATTCGATGTCGGACTGCATCGTGGACTTTACTAAAAGAGTTTTGACTGTCTTCATTTAATTCATTTCCGAACAGAACTTTGGCTGGGGTCCGGGATGTGGAATCATGAATGGCCGATCTATAAGCCAGTAAAAACTTGGGAATATGCTCATCCCAGTCTCGTTGGCCACTGTCCACCACTTTCCGTAGATGTTCTTCCAGGGTGCGATTGAATCTTTCCACCATGCCATCTGATTGTGGATGTAGGGGCGTCGTTCTGGTTTTCTTGATTCCGTAGGAGTCACACATTTCCTTGAAGATCGCTGATTCAAAATTCCTCCCTTGATCGGAATGAACCTCAGATGGAACACCATAGCGACAAATTCAATTTCTGCTGAACACATCCACAATTGTCCTGGCTTCTTGATTTGGGATAGCATAAACCTCTGGCCATTTACTGAAGTAATCCATGACCACTAAGACATACCGGTTCCCAGAGTCGCTTGTTGGGAACGGTCCAGCTACATCCATTGCGATTCTTTCAAAAGGGGCTCCTGAATTATACTGCTGCATGTAGCCTCGACTCTTCCGTGTTGGACCTTTAGCTCTTATGCACCTTTCACAATTGGCGATCCAGTCGGCAATGGATTTTTGACAGCCGACCCAGTAGAATCTCTGCTTTACCTTTTCAGCGGTTTTTGCTATGCCAAGATGTCCTCCACTTGGCCCATCGTGAAACTCCGACAAGACATCTCTTATTTTGGAGTCTGGGACGACGATCAAGTTCCGGTGAGATTTACCGTCCTCACTTTCCCATTTGCGATATAGGCAACCATCTATTATAAGTAGACTGTCCCACTGGGCCCAATAGGATTTTAAAAGAGGGCTTTCGGAGGTAATTTCTTTGCGACTAGGTCGTTTGCCCGTTTCTATGGCCGAAATTACTTTGCCCAGAATGGGATCTCTTCGTTGTTCCGTCGACCAATCTTCACCCGACTCAAATTGCAATAGTCGGACATCAACGATATTCTCTTTATTCTCAGCCTTTGAGCAGTGCTTGCATTCTACTTTGCATGGCCGACGAGACAGGGCATCAGCATTACCGTGTTTTCCGCCTTTTCTGTGCTCGATTCTGAAGTCATAACTCTGGAGCCTCTCGATCCAACGGGCTAGTTGACCTTCCGGATTCTTAAACTGCAGCAACCATTGGAGAGCAGCGTGGTCGGTCCTCAGCAGGAAATGCTGGCCATATAGGTATTTGTGGAAGTGTTTAACGCACTCAAGGACAGCAAGCAGCTCTCTCCTCGTCACACAGTAATTCCTCTCAGGTTTCGACAATGTCCGGCTGTAGTACCCGATGACTTTTTCCTGTCCGACGATTTCCTGGGAAAGGACGCCACCGATGCCGCACGCACTTGCGTCTGTGTCCAGGACAAACTTGCCGCCAGGTATAGGGTATGCCAAAATGGGGGCTCTGCATAGCATGTCTTTGAGCTTTCTGAATGCCTCCTCCTGGTCGTTGCCCCACTGAAACCTCTGGCCTTTTTGCGTCAAACGGTGTAAACAGGCGGCGATGTTGGCAAAATTTTGGACAAATCGACGGTAGTATGTGCAGAGACCCAGAAAGCTTCGCAGCTCATGGAGATTTCGGGGCTGCGGCCAATCTCTGACGGCTTGAATTTTCTCCTTATCCGTCGATATGCCCTCCGGCGTCACGTGGTGCCCCAGGAACTTCACCTCTCGTTGGAAGAGACTGCACTTCTTTGGGTTCAGCTTGAGGCCTGAAGACGAAAGCTGCTGTAGAACATCCTTTAAGTTCTTGATGTGTTAGTCGAAGTTGCGTCCCATGACTATGATGTCATCCAGGTATATGAGGCACGACTTCCACTGCAGCCCTTTTAACACACGCTCCATCAGCCTTTCAAATGTAGCCGGGGCGTTGCAGAGTCCGAATGGCATGACATTGAACTGCCAGAGACCCCCATTTCCTTATCTTTCTCGGCGATCTCTACTTGCCAGTACCCACTCTGCAGGTCGAGGGTGGAGAACCATGACGTCACGGCTAATGTGTCCAATGTGTCGTCGATTCTTGGGAGCGGATAGCTGTCTTTCTTGGTGACATCATTCAACTTTCTGTAGTCCACACAAAATCGGGTGCTTCCGTCTTTCTTCTTGACCAAGACCACTGGGGAGCACCATGGACTTGACGATGGTTCTATTACACCACTCTTTTCCATTTCACTTATCAGCTTCTGAACCTCGTCTCTTTTTGCCAGGGGAACACTTCTTGGAGGCTGTTTAATGGGTCTCGCGTCTGCTGTATTGATTTCATGCTTCACCACTGATGTTCTTCCTTGGTGCTCTTTTGTCAACGCAAAGGTAGAGGCATATTTCCATAATAGCTGCTTAGCCTTGTTCCTCTCGGAAGGTGATAATTGGTGTGTCCACTCTTTTATGTAGCCGTCGAGGTGCTTCTTCTCCATGGCAGCTGGCTTTTCGGTGCTAGTTTCCAAATTAACTACAGCTTCAGCTGGTGTGCATTGTCCAACATCGGAAAATTGGCAAATTTGCTCTTGCTTGTTTGACAGGTTCAAAACTCTAACAGGAATTAATCCGTCCTTGTTGCTTTTCACCAGGGCATTCGCTATTAGGATGTTACTGTTTCTGTTTTCTGCTGGTTCCACCACCCACAACTTCTCGGCTCCACAATCTCCATTCATTGGTACCCATATTATTGCTTCGGCACAGGGCGGTATTATCTCTGGATGGTCCGTGGTCAGACGTCTAATGGGTGTACTTTCATCGTAGCCCACGTTTAACGGAATTTCGACGTTAGACCAGGTCATCACACGTTCTTTCATATCCAGATTGATACCAAAGGCAATCATAAAATCTGCGCCTATTATCACTTCGTCTACGATATCGGCAACTATAAACTCGTAATTCTCCGATTTATTGGCAATAGTTAGTCTCAGGGTAATCTTGCCGTGTACTGCCGCGGGCTCCCCCGTTGCTGTGCGCAGTCTGACTCCATTAAGTTGCGTTATTTTTCCCTTTACCAGATCTGATCTTACGATGGACTTTGATGCGCCAGTATCTAACGTCAGAACTCGCTTATCACCATTGATGTACCCAGTTGTTGTTAGGTTGTGACTTTCCTGTTGTACTATTGCTATGGAGATTGTGGGGCCATCGTCGATGGGAGCCAGTTCATGCCCCGCTGGACTGGCTCGATTTAGTTTAACTGTGACTCATTGGTGGACTGTTGGGCCATTCTTCTACCATCTTTCGTTGGAGGTGGTGACGATGACCTGGATCGTTTGCGCTTAGCTCTGCATTCGCGCGCAATATGACCTGCTTTATCGCAGTTGTAGCATCTAACCCTGGGCTTAGTCATCCCAACTAACTTTGTCTCTTCTACTACCCGCCTCATGGCGTCTTCGATCGAGTTAACGAGAGATTTGGGTTCGCAACCTTCGGTCTCCAGTTGGCGAATCTTGTGGGTCTGGGGCTTAACAACTATTCGTGCCGTCTCTTGGGCAAGGGCAAACGACACAGTTTCGGAAAATGATGCTTTTGGTGACGCATATGTTGCATACTTAATCTCAGGGTCACGTATGCCATTCACAAAGGTTTCGATTTTCATACGGTCCAGCAATGGGTGATCCTCTCCTGGATACGTCATTAGCACCAAAAGTTCCACCTCAGCTGCAAAGTCTTGTAACGTCTCGTTTGCCCTCTGTACTCTTCCCCTTAATTCCATAAGGTAGATGTTTCGTTTATGTTCGCCACCGTACTTACGTTCCAGTGCAGCAATAACATCTTCATAGTTGTTTCTAGAAGCGACAGGAATACTCTGTATAACATCAGCAGCACTGCCCTTCAATGTCAGAAGTAGTGCAACCGCTTTGTCGCTGTCGTTCCACGAATTTCTAGAAGCCACTGTCTCGAACTGTAACTTGAAAACATTGAATGACGTAGAGCCGTCGAATACAGGAGGTTTGATTTTTAGTGTGTTATCAGGAACTCGCACCGGACCACCTTTGATTTCCAGTTCCGAAATTTTCTTCTCCAGATTTGTAACCCTATGGTCGTGGGACAGAAATTTCTCGTCAACCGACTGCACTTTCTTATCCAACTCTTTTATTTGGACCTCCACGGTTTCCACTCTCCTTCCAATAACTTCTGCAATGTACTCGAGTTTCTCGTTCGTTATTCTTGAATTTTCTTCGAACCTTCTGAAATTTTCCTCAAACATTTTGGCTAGCATTTCTCTGAAATCGTCACCCCTGGCAGCTACTGACGAGACTTCCCCACCGTTGGATTCGCCCATTTCCGATAAATCCACTTCATCCTTACTGTCAAACTCATATGTATCGATGTTCATACCACGGCGCTCGAACTCATCCAACAGACGTTTTTGTAGTTCAGCCTTGTTGCCAGTAGAGGACAATTCCAATTTATTAAGTTCCTTCTTCAAGTCTTCCACTCGTAGATCCTTAAACTTCATCGTAGTATTATCGTAATCTCACTTCCGACACCAATTGTTACGTTCTTGGATTTTACTTAATCCCGTGTAGACGTTGTTTTATTTCCCAATACAGCTCGTACCAAATAAAACGCGGGTTCTTTCGGATTACGATTATTACAATGATTTTATTCACACAACTTTACTTTGCACTTTACTTTACTCGACGGTTTCAATTCGCGATCTGATTCACAACTGACTAACTGCCTTTCCATTTCCCCTATTTATATGAGCCTCGCCTGTCGCTACAGAAGTTTCTAGACGATCTGGTAACGCCTAGATTACGAACAATCTACCAATGCAACGAACACATACAACTTACATTGAGTGAACAATAACAACAACACATACACAGGCGAGGGGGTAACAAAGAAAGAGGAATTAAGCGATCATCAATGATGACGTTTAACAAGAATTGTACGTCAGCAACAAAATAGAAAATGAAAGAGGAAATGGAAGGATGTAGAAAAATCTATACAGTAGTTGTTGTTGTGAAGTTATTCAAATAAACTGCGTAGTAGAAATTTACGTTACAATTCAAATTCTTAAATTAACGGAATTCATCTAAATTAACTTAAATCTAAAGTTATATTCGTAACAATATATTCAAACCTTCATTTTGGAGTTTATAGATCAGTTGTTGTATATCTTGACTCGCCTCATTATTGCTGCTTACGATATTGTTAAAAAAAAGTCTCCATATGTTTTTATGACCTTCGTCGATTCACTGACAGAGTTTGTTGGGTTTATGTTTAAAAGAGTGTTTTTAAATTTCCTCCAAACATAGGCGTAACTGGTGTTAATTTGGTCATTTTGATTCACAAGGCTTGCTCCAGGTAAATTCAAATCTAAATCGAGACCACAGTCAATTGATAAATAATTGGAACTAGAGTAGATTTAATTAAACCCAAACTGTTCTGTACACACACTTAAAGCTTTTGTTCAGACGTTTTTATTGAATTGGAAATGGCTGAGGCATCATATTCAATTTTTGGTCTTACAAATGCTTTATAAAAATGCAAAGCTTTTGAAGGTTTTACACCGAATTTGCAACAGCTTAATATTTTGAGGAATGAACAATTGCGAGTTATTGATGAAGTTGCAGAATCGATATGAATCTTTGCGGACCCGCTTAATGAGAGATGAACACCCAAAAATTTCATGTTTTTTTCTGATTTAATTTTTTGTAGTTGATCGTGATGTTCAGATCTTGTCATCTTTTGCTGAAATTAATGACGCTAATTTTCTCCATGTTGAAATTTAATTTTTTTCCACATCGTGTAATTCCTGTATTTTGTTTGCAAGGATTTTTTTGTACTTTTTAAATCTTTGTCGTGACACAGTAACAGAAAATCATCTGCAATGATTTGATGATCGGCTATAGAAAACATTTTTGCGAAGTAACTTCATGCATAATGATGTTCACTTACCTTGCATGAATGCGTAAGACCTTCTGGGGATTGCGTTATCTTCATTTAAAAAGTGTTGAATAATTGGTTTTAGGGCGCTCTCCAAATTTTTTTGTCCAGTGCAAATTAATGCTACTGGTCTGTAATTTTTTACATAAGACAAATCTTTGTTCCTTTTTGGTACAGGGCCCACCTCGACACACATCTCCACTGGCCCGGGAATTCACCTTTGGTCCACATGTTTGAAAGAGCGTTGAAAACTTTGGACTTCCCGCAGTTATTAAGGCTATCAATCATTTTGTAGGAAATGTCGTCTGCACGTTCCGCAGAGTCTGGATTTCTAGAGCTAAGGAATTTTTCCATATCATTAGTATCTAAAACTGGTTTCAGGCCCTGAAGTATTTCCAAGATTACTGGAATTGGTGGGTTTCCTATAGAAGAGGAATTGTTCTATAATTTAAATATTCTTCTTTCTGCTTCTCACTCTAAAGGTAAGGTCACATTGGGCAAATATTTGACGAAAAATGTGAAATATTTCTTTGTCACAATCTGACCACCAAATATTATTTGACGGTAAATACAAAAACAGCTGATTTTGGGAAAACAAAATTATTTGCCGGAAAACAAAAATTTGACCAATGTGTCCATAATGTGAACATATATGATCAATTATTTTCCTATTTTTTGGTCAAACATTTATTTGACGATGGAAATGTTTTGTAAGGTCAAACAAGGGAAAATATCAGTTTAAAACATTGGGCAGCATTTTGCTTTAAGAACAGGAGCATTTGTAGCATGATTTTTAATGAATAGAAAAACAAACGAATGCAATAAGTGGCTTTGTTTATTTGATATTTTTGAATTAACTGAATTTGAATGTTTAGTAAAAAATGTTTATATTTGGTCTGTTCCAGAACTGCGAGAATATATGTAAGTGTTTTTACTACGATAACCGATTTTCCCTTTATTATATCGAAGAAAATTGCGAAACTAGTAGATTCTTGCAGGTTCTGGAACAGGATATGGGTAGATGCATCAACGCTTGAAACAATGATATGTCAAAAATTTTGAAATGTTTTGACAAAAATAGTAGATTTTTATGTTTTCCTATACAGCGAAAAATCGGAGTTTGCAATGATATATATTTTTCAACAATTTTTACAAATTTCAATAATATTTCATTCATTATTTTCAATTCCAAAATTGTTTTGACAGTTCATTGTCCCAGCAGCTATGTCGATGTGACTACCTGTATTCTTCTATCATGATACAAACAAAAATGCAAAAAAAAATTGTTCTGACAAGGAATGTATTCCACAACAGCTGTTCTATTGCTTCCCTTCTCCAAATAAGTTATACCCGAAACTACATTTTCTTTATGTCTCTCTTTCACTCTCTCTGTCTATTTCTCTCGGCCAAATAAACTTATGTTTCCTCACAGTTTGATCAAACAATTCAATGGGAAAATATATTTTACGAATGTGAACATGTGTCAAACATGTTTTCCCATAGCACTGTTTGACGCTGTTTGGTGACTGTTTGAACAAACAAAATCTGTCAAATATTTGACTGTAATGTGAACATCGAATCAACTCTGTATGAATTTCACATTTGTTCAGTCAAATATGGGAAAACAAATTTCGATCAAATATTTGCCAGTGTGACCGTACCTTAAGAGTTGTTTGGTGGTTTCTCCTTCTGATACTTCTTGACGTTCCTTAAAGCTGCCCACATTTGACGTGAGTTACTAGTTTCTGAAAGATTCTTGATGAAATTGTTGAAGTTGTTTTTTTTTTGTCTTTTTTGTAATCAATTCATACATTTAAGAACAGAAGCATTTGTAGCATGATGTTTAATGAAGATAATGACAAACGAATGCAATAACTAGTTTTGTTTGTTTGGTATTTTTGAATTAATTAGGAGTAGGAGGTCAAGATTTCTTCTCAACAATATATATATATATATATATATATATATATATATATATATATATATATATATATATATATATATATATATATATATATATATATATATATATATATATATATATATATATATATATATATGTGTATATATATATTTTATTTATGCATCTCTTTTACTCTCTCTCTCTCTCTCTCTCTATATTTCTCTAGGCATTTTTGAATTAATTAGGAGTAGGAGGTCAAGATTTCTTCTCAAAATAAAATATTTTATATATATAAGTTAACACCAGACATATTCAAATTCAACATTAGCAACCCAAAGAATTCATCAACCAAAGTATAAGCGTGTCATTTTGCTGACACTGCAGTTCCCACCGAAACACTGACAACAACATCCAACAGGCAGACAGCAACATTCCATCGCCAACACGAGCAGGTGTCCAGTATCATCTGGGTGCATGAATCCAAAGTATAAGTTAGGGTAGTTTTATTTCATTATTCACTTTTTAGTCCGGAACCTTAACCAATAAAGACGTGATTGCTTGCAGTAAGCAGCAATCACAAATTTTTAAAAAAATAAATAAATTAACATTGAATTAATTGGCGCCCGAGAGCAGGGACCTGTTTTTAAACAGGTACTCGAAACCCGAAGAAAGGATTTCCGACAAAAGTCAAGCCTTCAGGTGGCGCCCCAGTAACTTAATTGTGAAAAGGACGTAACGTTATGTTACAGCCCCTAAAGCCCGCGACGCGGATCACTAGATTACGGTAGTTTACAAATAAAAATTTAAAAAAAAAAGTGAAAGTAAAATAAAAACATTGATACAAGAATTGTGAAAAATGAAAAACTATTAAAGAAAATAAAAAAACTCCTGAAAAATTAAAAAACAAAGTAAATTAAATTAAATAAAAAGTGAGAATTTTAAAAAAAAATAAAAAAAAGTATCAAAATAAAGGAAATTAAAATGATAATTACAAAATGAAAACTTAAAAAAAAAACTTGTGAAAACTTAAATGCAAAGTAAATTAAATGAAGTGAGAAATAAAAGAGAAACAATTGTGAGAAATTATAAAAAAAAAAAAAAAAAGAGATAAAAAATAAAGCAATTTAAATAAGTTTGAATGAATATAAATAAAAATAAAGTTAAGACAGAAATAAAAATTTTAAAAAAAGTGAAAGTAAAATAAAAACATTGATACAAGAATTGTGAAAAATGAGAAACTATTAAAGAAAATAAAAAAAACTCCTGAAAAATTAAAAAACAAAGTAAATTAAATTAAATAAAAAGTGAGAATTTAAAAAAAAAAAATAAAAAAGTATCAAAATAAAGGAAATTAAAATGATAATTACAAAATGAAAACTTAAAAAAAAAAAAAAAAAAAAAAAAAACTTGTGAAAACTTAAATGCAAAGTAAATTAAATGAAGTGAGAAATAAAAGAGAAACAATTGTGAGAAAATAAAAAAAAAAAGGAGATAAAAAATAAAGCAATTTAAATAAGTTTGAATGAATATAAATAAAAATAAAGTTAAGACAGAAATAAAAATTAAAATAAAAAAATTGTTTGAACAATATTAAATATTTTAACAATTTATAAATAAAAGTGAAAAAAATCGGACACAACAAAACTTTGAAAACTTTGAAAGGACTAAGAAAAACGATCATCTCATCTCATCTCATCTCATCTGTACTAGAAGGATGCTACTCCAGACTCTAATGATGCTGCTATTGTAAGAATAACTTTAAGAATTCAAATTAAGAACAAATTTAGTTCCTAACATTTTATAGTTATAGTTATTTGTTACCTATGAAATATTTTTTTGTTCCCAATACTGATAAATAACGTAACTTTGATAGCTCCACCTTTCCTTTTGATAAAGAGAAAAAATGTTAGAATCAGTGGATGATATTGCCGCAAAATTAAATAGAATTACGATAAATCCATCTTCAAATAACATGGAGACTCAAACAAGGGCAAACACCCTTACATCAGGTAGTTCAGCACTCACGGACAGACAAAGAAATGAAATCACACGAATGATTACAAACCTTTTGGCCGGACGAGACGAAACGTTTGACGATGGTAGTGACATACCGGTAGGAACAGTCTCCTCGAGACTGGAGGAACTGGACAAAGTTCCAGATATAGTGAAATCCTTGAGGGAATTTTCGGGAAAACCCGGAGAATTCAGCTCTTGGAGGAAATCAGTCGAAAGGGTGATTGATTTATACTCATCACTTCGTGGTACCGGGAAATACTACGCAATTTTGCATACAATTCGTACGAAAATTATAGGTGAGGCCGATACTGCTTTGGAATCCTATAGGACTCCATTGGATTGGGCCAAAATACGCAAATGCCTGATGGTGCACTACGCGGATAAACGAGATATAGGTACACTAGAGTACCAAATGAATGTTTTGTGTCAGGGGCACAGAGGTGTCACAGAGTTCTATCAGGACGTCTATCAAACACTATCTCTAATTTTGGATAAGGTTTCCTGCCTGGAATTGGACGACGGTAGTCTCAGAGCCATGACGAATACATATCGAGAGAAGGCACTTGATACCTTCATAAGAGGCCTGAACGGCGACCTTCCTAGGCTGCTCAGTGTCAAGGGTCCTACATCTCTACCAGAGGCTCTACATCTTTGTTTGAAGCTAGACAATATGGCATTTCGGAGAGATTATGCCCAGAAGGGAGGCCATAGACAGGAACCATTGAGGATGTCAACTGGTTCGAAATTTTACCCAGAATTGGCAAATATTCCGACTCATAGGCCTAGAGTATCCCCAGCTTTTCCATTTCCGAACAATTTGAATATGCAGAATCAGCGTCCTCAGTTTGGGGGACAACCATTTGCTCATCGTCCTCAGCAATTCTTTCAACGAAATCAGATGGGAGGACACCAAATCACTCGTCCTTATACGGGAACCCAGAATTTTCCTCAGAACCAATTTAGGCAATTTCCCTCACAATTTTACAATAACCAGAGTAAGCCAGAACCCATGGATATTGACAGGTCAATACAAGTAAGACCCCAACAGAACCAGAATTTTAAAAGACCTGCCCAGTTTTCGGTACAGACTCCTATGAATAAGATTCAGCGTAATTTTCATGTAAACGTGGATAATCAATACCCAGATATTGAGAACCAATCCCCAAATATCGACGATTACCGAGACAACAGTGACTATCAGCCAGTAGACGAAAATGACACAGGGAATTACGGACAACAGGATATAATACCGGACGATTACCAGGAACGTAACCCCGATGACATTCCAGCCAACTTCATAGATATGAATTTTTAGATTAAACTGTTCCTCGTTGCCATACTTTCAAGTCAAAACGAGGGACGGGAAGACATTAGACTTTTTATTGGATACAGGAAGCAGTAAAAATTATATAAGACCAACTTTGGTCCTGAGACCCAAGTTGAATGACAATAGGTTTAGCGTAAAATCTGTAGGCGGCGATGTGGAAGTTTCACACCACACTCTTCTTAACATGTTCGGCGTCAATGACGTCCCACTAAAATTCTTCCTTCTACCTGGTTTGGTATCTTTCGACGGGATTTTGGGGAATGACAGCTTGAAGGAATTATCGGCAGTAATTCATACTTCCGAAGATTATTTCCAAGTAAGAGGTGGCAAGAAAATTGCCATTAGACAGAGAATATCCCAGAATGTTAATAGTCTGGAGCTGGAGGCTGATCATCTATCATTAAGTCAGAGGAGTTCTCTCAATAATATTGCAAGGCAGCACCGGAACCTGTTCTCAGATCCGGATGAGAGATTAACATACACCTCTGTTGTGGTTGGAGAAATCCGAACTGAAAACGAATCTCCAATCTATACGCGAAGTTATCCTTACCCAATGGCATTAAAAGATGTCGTGGAGGAAGAGATTCGTCGTCTCCTTCGGGATGGCATCATAAGACCATCCAGATCCCCGTACAACTCCCCTATTTGGGT